GCTAGCCTTGAGCTGAAGAGCTGAGGGACAGTGCCCAGGCCCAGAGTTCAGGACCCACGACCGGACCAAAAAAAAAAACATAAAAAAAAAAGAAAAGTATGGGTGGCCAGACACCGGTAGCTCACAAGTATAATCCTAGCTACTCAGGGAGCTGAGATCTGAGGTTAGTGGTTCAAAGCCAGCTGGGAAAGAAAGTCTGTGAGACTCTTATCTCCAATTAACTACTAGAAAGCAGAAGTGGTGCTGTGGCTCAAGTGGTAGAATGCTAGGCTTGAGCTGAAGAACCCATGCCCAGAGTTCAAGCCCCATGACTGACAAAAATAAAGGAAAAAAAGTATGGGTGATTTACTTTTGCAGTGTGGAGTGCTCTATAAAATTCATTAGGTCCTGCTGTTTGGTGATGGGGCTGAGTCTTTTATAGCCTTGCTGTTTCTGTCTGAAGCTTATTTTATAGCTTTGCTAAGAACAAATGTAGAGTGATTAACTGCAGGGGTCATTTAGATTTATTACTAAGGCATGCTTTCAGGACCCTACTGTATACCCTGGCTCATACTCCAGCTTGTCAGAAATTGAACATCTTCCTATCTGGTGTGATCCCTGGGAATTTTAGCTTACAGTTCTTGGAGTTTTCAACATGTAGTTCTTGGCAAGAACTTGAAGGAACCCCATACGGTTTTCCAGTGCTTATCATCTGCATAACTCCTTCCTGTCTGTGCCACAGACTTGCCAGGTTTGATGTCTACTGCTCAATACAGTGAGCCGGCAGCCCCTGTTCAGCCCTGCCTCCTTGTAGCTTCCATTTCTCAGAGGCCTCCAAGCACCAAGTCAGGGAAGTCATAGGATCCTCTTGATTAGTTTGCTTTCTTCAAGCATCCTGGTTCTATTCTGCCTCTTGTTCCATGTCTGCAAAATGATACTATGCTTTACCCAGTTTTCTACTTGCTAACCCAGTCCTTTCCACTAGGTCATGATGGGAAGTAGAAATGTGCTTTATATTTATATGATGCTTTCACAGGGTAACACAAAGAAATGATGACAGTAGAGTTTTGAGTTCCTTTTTTTTTTTTTTTTGCTGACTAGTAAAAAGATAGGTGGCCTGATGTGGGAATGCAGCAATGGACAGCCTAGTCTTGTTTGCCTTACTGCACTCACCTTCCCCCAGTTTGTTCACCCCAACTTCTACTCACACTCTTACTCCAAGATTTGTCTCTAGCTCTCATCCATCATTTGTGTGTCAGTCTGAAGAGTGGATGAGCTGGTCTGAGGAGATTGGGAAAGAGAATAACAAAGACCATAGATGGAGTCTAGGAGTCCCAAGTTTAAGAGAAGACAGTAAGAAAATGAGAGGAAACCAATGTGACCTTGACCAAGGTTCAGCTAGGTCAAGTGACTTACTCAAGGCTACATAGCACATTCATTTCTCTCTTACCTGTACATACCTTTAGGAAAAAAAATCAAAGCTGATATTAAGCTAGGCTGGTACCACTCTGGTCATTGCTATGGTTCGGGGGTTTGGTTTGTGTATTTCCCAGTGTTCATGTGTTAGAAGCTTGTGACATGATGTTAAAAGGTGGTAGGACTTTTAAGAGGTGAAGCCTAGTGGGAGGTGCTTAGGTCATTGGATTGCTGCCTTTCCAAGTAACCAGGGTAGCTTTAAAGGGATCCTAAGTTAGTTTTAGAGAGAGTGGTAAATCACAGCAAGAAGCTTAATCCTTGAACCCTCTGGCTTCATATTCTGTAGTGTCATCTGTTGTTACTGCCATTGTAGTGCCGTACAAATGGATTCTTCACCAGAACCTAATGCCCCGCCCTTAAAACACTCACAACCATCAGTTAAATAAACTTTTTGTGATTGTGTATGTGTGTCAGTACTCGGGCTTGAACTCAGGGTTTGGGTGCTATCCTTTAAGCTTTTTCAATGCTGGCACTCTACCACTTGAGCCACAGTTCCCCTTCTGGTGTTTGGTGGTTAATTTAATTGAAGAATCATACGGGCTTTCCTACCCCAGGCTGGCTTCAGACTACCACCCTCAGCTTCCTGAGTAGCTAAAATTAAGGGCATGAGACATCAGCACCTGACTTTTTGGAAAAACAGATGGATACACCTATTTTTCTCATTTCTAGCTAATGTCTAGCTGGCGGGCACCATTTCTAGTGGCCAACTTTCCCACTGCTGTATTGTACAGCTTTTGAAATGTTTATTCATTTGTGTGTATCTGTGTGCGTGCACAGCAAACGGAACCCATGTCCTTGCATATGCTAGGCAAGCTTTACTTCTGCTACTTTGGTTCTTGTGAGACAGGGTCTCTCCATACAGCCCAGGCTGGCCTGGAACTCAAGAGCCTTCTGCTTCAGCCTCCTGAGTGCTGAGATTACAGGCATACACCACCACAACTGGATCAAGCTATTTTAACAAAAGCTAGTATTTACCAAGTCCTTGTTATATATGCTCTGTGTTTTAATCCTCTTCACAGCCCTGAAAAGCAGAATTGTTTCCAAATCAATGATGGAAAAAAAAAAACCCAAAAGATAAAAAGGCAAAATGGACCAGTCTAGGATTCCATTCCTCTTAGTGTGGGTTAGAACCCACGATGGTCCTATTCAAATGACCACCTGTTAACAGAAAGGAGAACTGTGGAAAAGTTACAAAGATAAATTATAAAATTCACTCCACAATCCGAGAACTTAAATGGCTTCTTCCAGGAAACCTCTCTCCCTCCCCCACCTCCCGACTTCCAAGTTCAACCGTCCCTTAAGGCCGGGCTAGGCCCAGCCCGTTGTGAATAGCTGCTAGCTCCGCCCACTTTTCCCTCACAACCAATGATGCCTGGGCGTGTGAGGGCGGGCTCTGTCTGGGTAGGATCTCTGATTGGTCTCTTATGGAGGCGGGCCCAGTCCGGGGGGGAGGGGGCGGGGAGCTCCCAAGCGTCCTGTAAGTCGTGAGCAGCTACGCGCCAAGTTTGTGTTCTTGGCGGGTGCCGCGGGTCACGTGGCACTCTCAAAAGTACCAGTCGGTGGGTGTCTGGGTCCCGGTGAGACCGGCAGCGATTTAAAGCTAAAGCGTCGCCAGACACGTGGGGGCCCGCCGTATTCCGGTAGGTGGGCAGCCTGAGTCCGAGCGAGAACTCCGGCCTTCCGTTCCGGCGGGTGCTTCAGGGTCTTTGCTTTCCTGCGGTGGTCGCACGCCGCTGCGCAGCGGGAACCACGCGGGAGCGGTTGGTGAGCGCCTGGGCCTCAGCGCCCCGGTGCTGGGCACATGGGTGTCACGGAGACCGTGGCCGGTCGCCTTTGGCGGGGATGTGGAGGTTTACTGTATAGATAAAAGTAGCCGCTTGCGGAACCGTGTTTTAAGCTTTGTACCTTTTGGAATGGAGGACCTACCCTCACCTTGATCTGTGGACCCGCACTCCTACGCTGCTGGTAGGGCGCTAGCAAATATTCACCCCCCGTTTTGCACAAGAGGGAAGTGAGACTCCGAGAGAGACCCCGGCTGAAAACAGCAGAGTCCCAAATGAAGGCGCCCCCCCCTCCAGCCCCCCTTCTGAAGGCCCGCTTTCCCAGCCCTGTGAACGTGGTGTCTGCATGTGCACAGATATCCCTGATTGTCTGCAATCTGGCACGCCCAAATCCAGGAGACAGATGTTGCATTGTCGGGTTCTTGGCCCAGTGCCTGTACTTCGAGGTTCTGGGAGTTAAGGGATCCTCTGGTCAGCTCTGAGGCCAGTGCAGCTCTGTGCCTTCTTCACTTTGGCAAGTTACTGGATTGGAAACACCAGTTTGGGTTCCTGTGGAATGTAATTTTACATTTCTATTGGCAGGGCAGGTGGGTGTTATGGAAAGAATGAAAGGATATTAAGTTCAGATTCTGACCCTTACTGTGGCTTTAGACAAGTTAGTTCTCCTCTCTGTGAGACATCCATGTGTTCAACAAGATAATTGCCTCCGCACCCCGTGGCAGGATCCACATAGTCCCAGGTAAAGACTGGGACATGTAGAAAGGCTGGTGGTCTTGCCTGCGACTTCTTAGTTTCTTAACTACTAATTGTGAAGGTCATGTCTCCCCTGAGGAACCGTGGTCTGCAGAAATTATCCACACGGTAGTGGCAAGGGTTGTAGAGAGCTGTGCTCAGCAGGGGTTCCCAGGGAGGGACAGCATCCTAAGGCTTCTTTTTTTTTTTTTTTTTGGGTCCGGTCGTGGGGCCTGAACTCGGCTTGCGTGGTGTCCCTCAGCTCTTCAGCTCAAGGCTAGCCCTCTACCACTTGAGCCACCGCACCACTTCCGGCTTTTTTCTTTTTGCTTATGGTGCTGAGGAAACGAACTCAGGGCCTCAGGCATGCAAGACAAGCTCTCTACCACTGAGCCACCTTCCCAGCCCCCTAAGGCTTCTTTAATAATGATTGTTGGTATTTATTTGCTCTGCCTTGCAAGTGTTCTGAATGCTTATGTCTTTATTTCCTGTATGTAACTCATAGCCAGCTTCAGACTGTTCTCATCTTTGTATGTTAGATGCAGAATGGGTTTTGAACCCAGAATTTAATGCCATTACTGTCGCCCTTTTTTCCCCTTAGTGCCCATATGAGGGCTTGAACTCAGGGCACTGTCCTTTAGCTTTTTTCACTCAGGGCTGGGCCTCTACCATTTGAGCCACAGCTCCACTTTCAGCTGATTAATTGGAAATGAGAGTATCACAGACATTCTTGTTCCAGGCTGACTTTGAACTGTTATCCTCAGATCTCAGTCTCTTGAATACCTAGGATTATAGGTGGGCAACCACCAACCTTCTTGTGGTATTCTTCAATATATACCTACTCTTGAGGGCCCCTTGCTGTTGAAAGTGGGGGATTCTTACCACTTGTCCATCTGCTCTTTTAAAAAAGGAATCTAGATTTTCTCCTACTGAGCTTCATTAGTTATTCATTTCAGATTTCACGAATAGATAGGGAAATATAGCCAAGACCAAAGTTTCTAAGAAGCACTTTGACACTTGTCAAATCTGTAACATCTATGTAAGAATTCTTTCTCCTGGCTTGTCTTATCTTTTGGCCTTTGAATCTCAGTCACTGAGGCACTCTTTGCTCCCCAGGCTTCTGTCACATTATTTGGATTTCTGATCTTTAGATATCTTCCTATTCCAGTGAGTGTTCTGCCTAGATTGCTCGCCTCAAATCTCCTGTGCTTGGCTCTGTTCCATTCTTCAGATTTCAGATCAGGCACTTCCCACAATTTATTGCCCACGTCACCATCACACTTAATTGTCTTTCTTTCTTTCTTTCTTCCTCCTTCCCTCCCTCCCTCCCTCCCTCTCTCCCTCCCTCCCTCCCTCCTTCCCTTCCTCCCTTTCTTCCTTCCTTCCTTCCTTCCTTCCTTCCTTCCTTCCTTCTTTGCTAGTCCTGGAGCTTGAACTCAGGACCTAAGTACTGTCCCTGAGCTTTTGCCCAAGGCTAGCACTACCACTTGAGCCACAGTGCCACTTCTGGCTTTTCCTGTTTATGTGGTTCTTAGGAAGGAATTGAACCCAGGGCTTCATGCATGCTAGGGAAGCACTCTACCACTAAGCCATATTCCCAGCCTTGTGTATTCTTTTTTTGTTGTTTTTCTTGGTCGGTTATGGGGCCTGAACCCCGCCTGGGTGCTGTCCCTCAGCTCTTCAGCTCAAGGCTAGCACTCTACCACTTGAGTCACAGTGCCACTTCCAGCTTTTTCTGCTTATGTGGTGCTGAGGAATCGAACCCAGGGCTTCATGCATGTGAGGCCAGCACTCTACCACTGAACCAACTTCCCTACCCAACAGTGCTATCTTGTATAGATGTATTTGTTTATCAGAAGTACTGGGGATTGAATTCAGGATCTTAAGCTTTCTACATAGGCACTCTATCACTTAAGCCACCCCTCTACCCCTATTTTGTATATTTGTCATTTACTTATTTATAATCTTTTTCATACAAGCAAGATCTGTGTTTTAATAACTTGTATTCTTAGTGCCTCATTTTGTGCCTGGGACATAGGAGTTGCTCAGTGTTATTTGAGTGAATTAATGGATTCATTTTAGGCTAATACCAGTGGGATAGAATGCTTAGATATCAGTTCATTTTTCTTTTTGATGCTTGCTCTGGTGCTTGAACTTAGGGCCTAGGTGCTATCTCTGAACTTTTGTACTCAAGGCTAATGCTCTACCACAGCTCTATGCCCTACTTTTTTGGTAGTTAATTGGAGTTGAGTCTCGTTGGATTTCCTGCCTGGGCTGGCTTTGAATCATGATCATCAGATCTCTGCCTTTTAAGTAGCTAGGATTACAGGTGTGAGCCTGATGCCTGGCATATCGTAACTTATTTTGAATTGAACTTAATTACTGTATGATCAAGCATTTCCACCGGTGGGCATACATCCTAAAGAATTAAAAAGCCCCAGACTAAAGCAGGTATTTGTACATAAATATTCATAGCATCATTGTCTACAGTTGCTAACAGGTAGAAGCAACCCAAATGTCCATTGAAAAGTTTAATGGGTAAACAAAACATGACACACACATACATGCATACACACAATCACATACAGTGGAATGTTATTTCAGCCATGAAAACAAAATTTGGGGGGTGGGGGAAGGAAAGTAGGAGAGAAAGTGCAGGGGGTAACAATGTTCAACAAGAAATGTACTCATGGGGCTGGGAAGGTGGCTCAGTGGTAGAGCGCTTGCCTTGCATGCCTGAGGCCCTGGGTTCAATTCCTCAGCACCACATAAGCAAAAAGAAAAAAGCCAGAAGTGGCGCTGTGGTTCAAGTGGTAGAGTGCTAGCCTTGAGCTGAAGAGCTGAGGGACAGCGCCCAGACCCAGAGTTCAGGCCCCACGACTGGACCAAAAAAAAAAGAAATGTACTCATATGCCAGGTGCTGGTGGCTTACACCTGTAATCCTAGCTACTTAGGAGGCTGAGAACTGAGGTTCACAGTTCAAAGCCAGCCCGGGCAGGAAACTCCGTGAGACTCTTATCTCCAATAAAGCACTAGAAAACCAGACGTGGCACTGTGGCTCAAGCAGTAGAGCGCTTGCCTTGAACTGAAGAGCTCAAGGACAGTGCCCAATCCCAGACAGAGTTCAAGCCCCATGACCAACAAAAAAAGAAAAAAAAAGAAATGTACTCATTACCTTACTTATGTAATTGCAATCACCCTTACAAATTTTTTTTTTAAAGAAAAAATTCTGACATGGTACAATATGGCTGGATCTTGAAGACAGTATGCTGAGTGAAATAAGCCAAGTACAAAAGGTCAAATCCTATGTGATACAGTCAAAAATTAGAATGGTACTTGCAGGGGTTTGGAGGGGGTGGGCAGTTAATGTTTAATTAAAGTGCAGGGAAGGTGAGAGAGTTCTGTATTTGCTGCCATAAAATTATATGCTTAAAAATAGTTAAAGTGGGGTGCATGTCTTATGCCTGTAATTCTAGCTACTCAGGAGTGGAGATGGGGAAGATTGAACTGAGCCAATAAAAGGCTGAATGTGGCACCTGTCATCCCAGCTATGTGGGAAGCATAAATAGGTGGATCGAAGTCTCGGCTAGCCTGGACATAAATGTGACACCATACTTGAAAAATAACTAAAGCAAAAAAAGCTGGGGGTGTGGCTTAAACTATAGAATACCTGCTAGCAAACTCAAAGCCCGGAGTACAAACCTGAGTGCTACCAAAAAAATTAAAGTGACAGAGAGGTGCCGGTGGCTCATGCCTGTGATCCTAGCTACTCAGGAGTCTGAAATTGGAGGATCGCCATTCAAAGCCAGCCCAGGGAGAAAAGTCCATGGGATTCTTAAATCTCCAATTAACCACTAGAAAACTGGAAGTGGCACTGTGGCTCAAGTGGTAGAGCGCTCTTCTTGAGCTGAAGAGCTCAGGGTCAGTACCCAGGCCTAAAGTTCAAGCCCCACAACTGAAGGAAAAAAAGTTAAAGTGGTGAATTTTGTGTCATGTATATTTTTTTTGTAATTTAAAAGCAAAACAAAAAATAGTAGGTTTTTTTTTTTGTTTTTGTTTTTTGCCAATCTCCAGACCTTAAGAAAAAAAGGCTGGGGCTGGGAAGGTGGCTCAGTGATAGAACGCTT